CTGAAAGGAGCCTTCGACTCAGTTGACGGCGAAGCTCTGATGGGCTCCTTTCTTCGAAAAGGAATGCCCCAGAAGTATGTTAACCTACTGAGGTTACTGTACTCACATACCTCCGGTCGTGTAGGGCCTACAACGAACTAAGTAGGCTGTTCGTCACCAGCAGCGGCGTTCGTCAAGGATGCCCTCTTTCGCCGTTCCTGTTCAATTTCGACGCAGACGAAACACTGGAGAGCGCACTAAGGGGACTCCAAAAAGTAGGTATTGAATGAACAGTTGGAGAAAAGCTGTGTGATTTGGAGTATGCCGATGATATCGTCTGTCTATCCGAATGTATGGAGGACGCGCAAAGTGTACTTGATAGATTAACAAGTGCAGTGGCCACATTCGGTATGTGCTTCGCACCTTTAAAGTGTCAAGTGGTGCTGCAGGACTGAGTTTAGTCTACTCCCACTCTGACACTAAACGGCCAAGGTTTAGTTGTGGTGGATTACTTTTCCTACTTAGGTGGTTGCGTGACCAATGACGGTAGTGCAGCAAAGGAAATAACCGCCCGCATTTCCAAGGCTCGAGCAGCATACGCAGGACTGAAACACCTTTGGCGTAGACGCGACGTTTCACTGAAGTTGAAAGGTCGTGTATATTGTGCTAACGTTCGTTCAGTCCTGCTTTATGGTTGTGAGACCCTGAGTTTACGAGTAGAAGATATCCGTGGACTAGAAGTTTTCGATTATTGGTGTTTACGCAGTTTAGTCCATGTTGGATGGAGCGAACGGGTTAGTAACGTGGAGGTAAGCTGTCGTGTGTTTGAGAGTCTGTCAGGTATAAACCTGCTAGCACACCGTATTCAAATTACTAGGCTTCGCTGGCTAGGGCACGTATTGCGTATGCCCAGCCATCGTCTGCCGCACCGCGCTTTATTCGCTGTAGCTAATCCGTGCTGGAGGAAACCACGTGGAGACGAGGCCTGAAGAAATGCACATCATTAGGTAGGATAGGTGTCTCTCACCTTCCAGGTTGGGGTCCGAAAGACTCCACAACACTGGGTTGGAGACATTGAAGGATATGGCAGCAAACCGGCAGCAGTGGCGTTCTTGTTGTCGTTTGTTATCAGGTCAGAATGCTTGAAACGGTATGTATGCAGAGTTCAATTGCGTGCTCTGTGTTGACCATAGTGGCTCATCTTTTTCTCCCTTCCTCAAAATAGATCCAACCCCTGCCCACCTTAAATCTTACCACTAACCTTGTATGCATTGTGAGTTTGGCAGCGGTCAGTGAAGTTTGCTTCACGGTATTTCGCTGTACGATGATGATGATGATTTGGCGATAAGGATCTTCTGGTGAGCGTTTCTTCACTAGATATAGCAATTTGGACACTTCCAGAATTAAGTTTTGCTTTAACTATTATCGTGCTTTCAATAAGCTCGAAAAGACCACACCCGCACCATTTCCCTGCTCGCACGCTTTCCTTGCATTGATCAGATCTACTTTCAGGTTTACGCTTCCGTTGCTTAAACAACAGCCTAGGCCTAGCTAAACTTACTTCCAACATTTCGGAAGTTTCAAAATATATCGTTCCTATAAACCCAATCCTTGGTTCCGTTTCTTCTTAAGACGGATATCCAGAACGAACGTGAGCAAACATTGGTGACAGGTTCTGACGAACATCAGCAACCACCTAGTCACTAAAGGTTCTAGCTTAGACGGCTTGTTGATCGATCTGCGGACATTGAGTGCGGTTAAATGAAAAGGGGTTGGAAAACTCTGGCAGCCTCTGAGTGGTTGACCTTATTAGTTGAATGCTGAGTGATATGCGATGGGTATCATAAACAGGAGGCACCTGGGAATATTCGGGATTGAGAAAAAGGACCAGACAGATGGGAAAGATGTTCTTCCAAATGTGTACCTGAGACTTTGGAGCACGGCATACTTCGCGGCCGGTCACACTGACGAAGGGGTTTTTCTTTGGAAACCCTAACCGGAGCCTTCGACTCAAAAGTCTGACCCACAATGCTGTGAGGCGTAAATCCAACCCTGGAACGTGAACGGAACACCCGTGTGGGAGCTTCTCGAGATCTGTCACGCAAAGCCTTTAAATTTCGATTAATTGTGTTGTTCGCTGGTGTGGTGATTGTCGGTCCGCTTTTCGGGATCAGCCCTCACCCTCATGCACCCAATGAGACAAGCGGAACTTGGACGGGGCAGCACCTTATTGGCTTGGGCGGGCGTTAGCTGTTCAATGAAGTGCGAAGACTTCTCCCACCGTCGAGAGGAAGCCCCAGATACCCCGCTCCTACGTCCATCTAGCGGGGTTTTTTTGACCGGTGAGCTGTCCCTCACAGTGTTTATTTGCTGGAGTGACCTCTCCAGGGGCGTGTGGACAGAGGAAAGAAGTCAGGTGCCCAAGCAGCTGGCTTTGTGAAACTGAGCTTTGTTTGGCCTCTACCCGTTGACATTTCAGGCATGATTGGATCTACGGCTGTGCAGCTCGCAGGGTCACGGAGGCACACAAACCATCACACCACGTCTAGGTGCAGTCTCCTGGTGATGGTATATACACACAGTATAAGGAAAATGATAGTATAACGGATAAAAATCATGTCAAGCAAGAATAATGAGATATTGTAAAAACGGTTCAAGTAATTGATTTTGCTTCTTCTCGAGTGTTACGTATATTCGGTGGTGGTGCAGTGGTTTAGTTGCTTCCGCCGGCTGGCTTTGAACCCTGTGTTCCGAGGTTCGAGTCCACCACCGCTACCCAACTTTGCTGCTAGGCAGCTTTGCTGTCGTCCGGTTCAATACCACGCCTAACGTAGCGGGGCCTTAGGTGGTTCGCCACTTCAAGTCCCGGGGCTTAGATTACCGGTTTCCATCACCAAACAGCATGTCCCCGTGGACATGGGGTTTACCCCGTCTACTGTTCATCACACTTGAGTGTGTAATAAAAAAACTAAATAGCATAAATACAGACGTAATTTTTGTCTGGATTTATTTTATCAATTTACCTAGATCTATAAGTAAACAGTATAGGAAAGTACAAATAAGGCAGTGAAAAGTATATCAGATCTATTGGAAATAGCGAGAAGCGGCTACAATGAAATATAGGTTACCGTCGTTAAGGCCTCTATTATTCGACCTTACCCCGAGTGTACCTTAACTGTTTATTATTTTCAAAGGGCATAGCCTGGCGAATACATCTACTGCAAGGATGCTCGCGATCTTTTTGAAATATTTCGACTACCAGGTCGCTAAACACTTCCAATGACCACCAAAGGACATATCACATTCGGCTTTAATCCTTGGTGTATGCACTTACGTTGAATTTTCCGCAGTTTGCTGATACGCTTTATATTTGACTCAAAAAGACTCAAGGATATTAATTTTTATAACCTGTCACCATTGGTTCTATGTTGACGCTTATGTGAAGTTTCTCCGAGATCGTTTCAGTTGCTTCTTGTTCAAATTCAAATTTTTATTATGGGAAAAAAAACTTACAAAGACTTCGCTTATTAAATCCCATAGGGTGTTTACACTTTGGTTGTTAGTGCCTATGTACTCACTCTGTCACTTTACTTCTCATGCGACTATGTGGTTGTGGTTATCATCACATCGTACCATGTGTGAATATGTGAATCCCACCACCACTATCCACATTCCTTGCTTCTTCATACTCCCGGATCACCTTTGCTTGGTCTCGGCCACATTACTCAAATTGATACTGTATTTGTTGTACATTTAATAAGAAGAACTCTTTATTTATTAGAAAATCATTTTGGATTGGTTTGCCCGCGCCCAACAACCAAAGTGTTGCGTATATCGAAATGATCTAGGACTATTTCCATATCTTGCATCTATAACTTGTTTGCTGGCTCAATTACAGTATTAGCGAATCCAATTCAAAATTATAGTTTAAAATTTTCATCTCACTGTTTCAGCTTTCCGTACGGGTGCCATCGTGTGGTACCAAATGCTCTTAACCGTGTTCCTGTTCATCTACTCACAATCCGGAACACACCACCAGCAGTCTGTGTATAATGAGTAGTGCATCGTTTGCCAAATGTGTCGGGTGTCTGATTGTTTTCACAATGAACGTCGTTGCATCGGTGGGAACGTTTGTGTACATTCGTGTCAAATGCCAAACTCGCGCTATCCATCAACGATTGAGTTTCGCATTATCTGCAGCTAGTTGCTTTTCTGTTGGACTTTTCTTGGGTATCTGTTACTTGGGACTCTATCACAGTGCGGCTACCAAAATGTTGCACGTACAGAATAAATTACCGCATGACAGATGGTTAAAAGCGTATCCTATTTCTGAGACAATTTTGTGCTTGGGATTTTTCGTTCTGTGGATCCTAGAGTGGCTTATTCGTGCCTTATGCGATCGTCTATCCAGCAATGTATCCCCATCAAGGTATACCGAGTACAATCCAGTCAAGGTGCTCTCCATGACTGCGTTCCGATCCCACTTCACCACTGGAGATCCAGAGGATGAGGTGGACCTTCTTGGTGCTCATGAAGGACACACTCCATCAGAATTCACACCCGTTCAGTCCACCCCAATAACACTGGAGACAAAGTCGGAAAAGAAAATGGTTGGTGCTTTTCCGGGTACTGATAGTATTCTCAAATCACTCATGTTGACTTTGGCGATGGGAATTCATGCATTTCTAGAAGCTCTTGGTTTCGGTCTTCTGGATACAACCAACGAGGTGAGTAAATCCATGCTGACATTTTCTGCGTCTTAGCTATTCTGTTCAATTTATCCTAAAAACTTCTTTTTGGTCCATTTCTATCAGATAATGTAAAATGGTCAGTTAGCAATAACTATTTTGTCTGCCTGAAAAAAACATTCGCAGTACGCTGTCCCTCACCCGAAATGCGTTGCGATCTGCTTCCGTTACTATTGTGATTGTGTCGAACCTTTTTAAACTTTATTTATTAAACAATTTTTGTGTGGTAAATAACACATGATGTAAACCCCATAATCGCGTAGACCTGCTCTTCAGTGATGAAAGAGCCATCATTATCGTAGTATAACGAAATACAGTGAAGCGAACTTAATTTATCTCTGCCAAACGGATAATGCATGCAAGGTAAGTGATAATGTGTAATGAGGATAAGGATTTTTGCCTACTTTAGGGACGGGGAAAGAAAGCGAACCTCTATGGTCAACACACAGAGAGCAGAGTTCAACTGTGCATACATGCTATTTCAAGTATTGTGGTCTGAAAAGAAGTGATAGTAAAATCGTCAATGCTCAGTTTGCTGCCATGACCTTCAGCGTCCCCAACCATCTAGTTGCTGAGTCTTTTGAACCCCAACCCGGAACGCGAGAGACACCTACTCTACCTAACCGCTCTGTGCATTTCTTCATACCTCGTCTCTACGCCACCTGCTGGCCTCTACGTGGCTTTCTTCAGTCTGCAGCGGCCACTGCAAATAAGGTGGGCTGCGGTAGGTGACCGTCGGACATATGCAAAACTTGTCCTAACCAACGGAACCTATTGAGCTGAATTCGATGCCTTAACGAGTTCCTTTTCCATGCCTTCCCAAACACCATGCGATTTATTTCTAGGTTACTAACCGTTCACTCCATCCCACCTGGGTCAGACAACACAAACATCGATTGTCGAAAACCATTAAGTGTCGTATATCTTCTACCCGCAAATTCAAGATATCACAACCGTAAAGTAGAACTGGTCTTACAGTGGCGTCGTATACGCCACTCTTCAACTTCAGTGAAACGTCGCGTCCACGCCAAAGATGTTTTAGTCCCGCGTGCACTGCTCAAGCCTTAAAAATGCGAGCGATCATCTTCTGTGATGCGCTACCGTCGTTGGTCACGCAGCTACCCAAGTACGAGAAGCAGTCAACTTTAGGTAGTTCCCGATCGTCTAGTTTCAGAATGCAACCCAGCTAAACCTAGTCTCGCCGAACAGAGCAAAAAAAACTTTATAGTTTGTGAAGTGCACTTTGTGCATCCTTCATACATTTAAACAGGCAAGCGATATTGTCAGCGTACTCTTAATCACAGCTTTTCTCAATCTACCCATCGTCGCGACATCCGGTTGTCTGTGAAGGGTCGAGTATATGCTGCAGCAATTCGGCCAGTTCTGCTTTACGGTGCAGAGACTTGGCCATTACAGGAACAGGATAAAAATAAACTGTCGTTGTTCGAATACCGCTTTCTACGTAGCATTGCACGAGTCTGGTGGGGAAACCGGACGAGCAATGCTGCGGTTAGGCGTAGAGTTTTAAGTAATCGCGGTCGTCCACTGAAACAGGTAGTCGACCTCCGAAATAGATTACGCTGGTTGGG